TGCCCAGGTGTTTGGTCCCTGCCCTGCTATACCCTTCTCCAGGGACCCCTACGAGCTCCTTGCCCCTCACCTCTCCAGGCTCCCGTGTGCCCTGCCCTGGCTGGGAGGCCGCAGTAGTGACCTGTGGAAGTGACCTGTTATTCTCCCTGTCTCTTCAAAAGCGTTAGCACAGAGTCTGTGTGCCTCTGGGCTTCACAACTGAAGCCAGGTAATGGAACACATAGAGAGAATTCAGAGCAGGGCCAGAAAGACACTGCAATTTATTAGCAAAGGTTAGATGGACTTGGATTGTCTGATGGCATCTGCCATTTACTGAGCATCTACTAAAGGCTCTCCCACCCTGGACTCGCATCAGGACGGTCATGATAATCCCACCTATAGGTGAGGAAACGGAGCTCAGACAGGTTAGGGCCCTTGCCCAGGGTCACGTAACTAGGAAGGGTCCAAATGCAGGTGTGTCCATGGCCACACAACATAAGTAAAGAAATCTCAGAGGTGACAGGGGGACAAAGCCCCCTGAGGAGAGAAAAGCTGTCCTCTGTCCTGTGGGAACAAAAGGAGGGGATGCTGCATTTGAGGCGTTCCCTAAGCCCTAGGAAAAAGTCCTGCTGGAGCAGATGTGCCACCACCATTGGAAAGGCCTGGAGACTGTCTCTGTCAAACCCCCTTCTTGGAAGATTTTACACTGCAGAGAAACTCTCGTCCTGGCTTTCCAACGGCCTCCTGTATTGTGATTCTCTTCTGCGTCAGCTGTTAAATCTGCCAGGGTATTGGGATGCCAAAGCGGAATGTTCTGCTTTGGGTCTCGCCTCCCACAGAGGGAACCTTATTCTGAAATTCTAAACACAGAAGTAATATTTTCCTGAAAGCATCAGGAACGATTGTTTCATTTATTTATTTTATTTCTACGGATGGGTTTTCAAGAGACATCGACAAGCCTATGTATGTCGGGGTGGAGGAGAGATTTAAGCAAAGATCCGTTTTGTAAAAAAAAAAAACAACAAATTTAATGAAATAATCACTTTAAAGAAAATATAGATAATTAAAAAACAGTTCAGACTTCCAGAACATTCTCTGAGAGTATTGCAGTCCTCCATAAGTATATTTCATGGGAAGAATGATCTACAAATTCTATCCTTTCCAATTCTCCTTTCCACGGCCACTGAGGCAGCGTGCCCAAGCCTCAGAGAGAGCTGTAGGGGCAAGAATGCTGTGTTCCGTCCAGAGGGGGCAAACTGTGTCCAGAGCCACCCACGGATGCAAGCAGCAAGTCATTTTAAGATAACGGCCCATAATTCCACCTTTAGGCCAGTGTTCTAGAAACATGACATTCAAATAGTGGTACAACAGTATTTTCCGTTTTCTATTCCTTCCACTGTCACAGAGTCAAATTCCACTGGAGCCAATGAGTTGTTGAAAATGCATATGCCCTAGAGCTATTAAACTCATTCATCACATCCCTTAAAATCCTATATATGAACTTCCTTCATATAACCCTGAGCTTTTAATTTTAAACAAGTTTGCTTTACACATGATAGCAAATATTCAGCAAGAGCCTGCTATGTGCAAGCCATGAAATACGTAAAAGATGCTTCATGTTTATAAATTAACTTTTTTTTTTACTGAAGTTGATGTACAATATTATATAAGTTACAGGTGTACAATATAGTGATTCCCAATTTTTAAAGGTTCTACTCCATTTCTAGTTGTTATAAAATATTGGCTATAATCCCTGTGCTGCACAATATATCCTTGCAGCTTATTTTATATATAATGGCTTGTCCTCTTCATCCCCCACCCCTACGTTACCCCTCCTCCTTTCCCCCTCCCCACTTGTAACCACAAGTTTGTCCTCCACGTCTGTGAGCCTGCTTCTTTTTCTTTTTTGTTGTAGTTTTTAGATTCCACCTATAAGTTATATCATGGTGATCATCAAAACCTTCCAACCTCTGTCAAATCAAAGAAAGGAACTTCTTTAAACAGCTCATTGAAACCGTAATCATGTTCTCCCTCACCAAGCCTTGTCAGTAACTTTCCATCCCCTGATTCTAAGACGCTCTCCACTCACGCTGCTGTTTGCAGCTTGCTCTCTCCCGGTCTTCCAGTGCCAGATCTGTGATAAAGGAAAATGCCCACAATCCCATCTTAAAGACTAAGGACCTTTAAACTCTAGGACCAGGGGCTGGGGCTGTAACCTGGGGTTCACAAGACCACCCAAGGAGTCCAAGGACAGAACTGGATTTCAATAGTATTAGCTTCCCTTGTCACTCTATGTATTGCCTTTCCTGCATTTTAAAAGCATTAATCTGAGAAGGGATTGCAGGCTTCATTAGACTTCCCGAGTGGCCCAAGGCATAACAAAGGATCAGGGAAGTCTTTGGGAGATTGGATTAAAAATCCTAACCGAAGCAAAATTAAGTTCCGAGGCTAACAACTGGCTGCTATGAGTCTGTAAGCAAAGGCAGCACTGTTTTGTGCAGAAGGGAGGGGGTTGTAAAGCACCCCCCAAGTATCATCAGGTGGCCCCAGAAGCAGTGGAAGCACCAAAACTGATTCGTGAATTACATGTGGGAACATCACTTTTGATGCTTACGTTTTTATTAGAACTCTTAATCTGTCTTAAAGTCCACGGCCCTTTAAGGATAAAGCAACCGACATACTCACATAAACTCATAATATTCCTTTACTTCGTCCCATGGAAACACTCTGTTACCATTTCCAAAATACCAAGGGAAAATGATGGTGAGAATCATAAAGACAGGATAAAAACATAGAGCTTTTCATAGTGCCTCATAGGGTCTTATAGACATTCACGCCAAAAAAAAAAAAACTCCACTGAGATGCGGAGACCAACTTAACAGATTCTGTGCATCTGATGCTTGATGGACTAATTGATTTATTTACTGAAACAACAAAAAACAGAGTGCGTTTGAGACTGGAAATTGCCCGTATGACAGACTTTCCTAATTCCAACGGACAGCCGTAATTTTCCCTATGCTAATTTGAGCTTTGCACTAACATAATTAAAACTGCAGTCAACAGACTCAGGCCTCCTTTTTTCCACTCTATAAACAAGTCTGTAAAATCATCTCATTACTTTACCCAGGAAGCCTAGCAGAACATTTCTTAAAGGAAGTTACCTATAAAGAGGGGCTATTTTATTTTAACAGAGGATAAAAAGAGTCTACTTGAAGTCATTTTGAAAGTTCACTTAAGCCATATATGATACACAGATAATGCAGTGTAATCAAATGTTAAAGTAAGCATAGTATCCTGGGTAAGTGGAAACTGTTTCCCAAAATTCATCCTGAAAAACACAAAACGTTCAAGCTTCAAAAATATCTTCATCTTTTCAGAAAAGTATACTTTAAATTAAACAGTATGACACATTTGTATTCTATGCAAAACATACCCCACACCCTAAAGGATTGTCTGTTATTTCAATGTCCTTTAATACACCGATTGTTTTGAAACACACACACACACACACACACAAACACACACAACTGTACTCAAGCTATTCAAAATTTACAAAGAACATTAGATTCAACTGCTATGAAATATGGACACAAATAAGGGTAAAAATAAGAATTAAGAGGGCAGCATTTGGGGTTATAAAATCAAATAATTTCTACTCATATAGCTCAAAGCAGAGTACATCAAACCCTCAATTTTAAAATTCCTTTCTATACAGTTATACCTCAGCAGACTTCAATCCTTGAAGAAAGAAAAATCTCTGTAAGATTAAAATCTTTGATACATGATTTTTTTTACATGGATTACTGAACATACCTTGAAAACCAAAACCTATCTTGAGAAATAGAAACTGAATGGAACTTCTGAAACATAGTTTATGCAACGGGTATTAATTAAATCCTCTCGCACAAACATTTCAAATTCCAAATCAAAGAGGCTTTTAAAAATTGTCCTAGCCCAATTCTGGGCAAACTTCCATATTCATGAGCTTTCAGATCAACTAAAACCCTTGATGAAAACACAACCAAATGCTTCTCACCTACATGCAGCAAAACTAAAGACATGCAACCAATAAAACTCGCTTTTTCCTCCTTTCAGTATCTGTTTTTGCTCCTGACTTTTCTCATTTCTAGAAATGTCACCAAGGCGTGCTGGCCTTGAAAATATTGTAACAGACCACTTCATGGGCTCTATGCCGCCAACTTGCACTAACCATCAAACTGGCTTCAGTTCCAGGAATCAGACTACATTCACGTTTCTACCTCTGTGCATTCACCGCCACCTTAATCTCTCTCTATTTGCAAGAAAAACAAAACATCAGACCACACACCCCAGAACACAGAGAACCAACCCGCAATTCCCACAAAGCAACCATCACGGAGAAGAAAGTCTATTCACAGTGCACCGAGGAGTAGGTACTTTATTAAAGATAAATACATAACCGAACAAACCAAATTACCACCATTTGAATTATGAGAACGCTCTGTTCTCAGCCTGAAGGTTCCAAAAATCAAGTCAACATTGGCATGCCCCATGACTGACAGCCACTTGCTAGGCATCTCTTCATTTCCACAGGGACCGGCTGGCACCCCTGATGGTAAGGAGGCCTTCAAGAACGTCCAAAAGTTCAACATTTCCAAGCCCATCTTTTTCTCCGACCCTGCCCTCCAAACTCTCCAAGTCCATTGCCTTCCAGCAGATACACATCCAGGCACCGCTAGAGATAGCTAAAGAATATGAAAAATCGGACGCGCTCTGAAAAGCTTTTGCAAAAAGTCATCCACGGCCCTCAACCGTGAATTTAGAAACCCCAATTTTTTTCTGAGTTTGAAGTTTTTAAGCCTTGCGGATGGTTGGAGTAGGAAAAAGGAAATTTACTAGGCAGTGCAAAGGAAATCTTGTTGTCCTCTATTGTGGCAGCGGGGGTGTTGCCCAATGCTAACTTATCTGCGTTGATAAAGGAAACCAGAGAAAAGAGTAACAAGCACAGAATTTGGTCAAATGAAAAGGAACCCTCTCCTTACCTTAATAGTGCTGGCCATAATGCAATCAAGTTTATTGATCGTTAATAAATGTTAATAATAATTATTGCTTCTCTCTGACCAGAAAGTAGTTTTGATGAGGTTGTTTAGAGCGGATGAGATTGTGCTAAGTCTGGGAAATGAAGTCAGTCAATGGCAGGAAGAGGTTTCTATTGGTCCTGGCCGCCCAGCCCGAAGAAACAGGATATTTGGGAGTGGAGAGATAAGAGACCCTGAAAACAATGTTGTTTTTCTTGATGATATGCAGCCAGGAGATTTTTTTTTTTTCAATTAAAAAAAAAAAGACATCAATTGCCTGGGCCTGGGATGACCACAGCAGGTGTGACCCAGTGTGCCGCTGTGTGACACGCCGCCCCGGGCAGGATGCAGATGTGGCGGGACTCTGAGTGGCTTCACGTGGGCGGCGAGCTCCTCAAGGCCCCTGGGTGTGGACAGGACTCCTGGGCCTCTGTCTCCCCGGATCTGCCACACGCCTGGGTCGTGGGGCCTAAGGCCCCTACCCACTCCCTGCTCCGCTCTCTTCAAAGGAAACTTTGCAGGTAGCACTTATTTCACGTGAATAGGCGACGACGTTTAATAATAGCCATTCACCTGCTGATTTTTAACAACCTCCACTGGTTTAGCATCTCAAGTGAATGTTCCAGAACAGTTTCATTTTCTCCTTCCAAACATAAGTAATTGCTATCGGCTACACGATCAAGTAGTTGAAAATGCAAAGACTCTAGCATGAAAGTAGCTAAGAGAAATAAAGAGGAAAATAAACCTGTCAAATCCTCATTTTCAAATATTTATTTAAAATCCAAGGCACTTAAATGACTATGAGTGCTTTATAATGGCAGCAAGCTGGCCCCCTCTGACAAACGTCCAGGTTGCAGACAACAGACCCCAATAGAACTCTTGGCTACACAGAGATGCCACGTCCTCATTAAGTGTTTTAAAATCTGAGCTGTAAGTTCAGGGCCACACGTCTGTTTTCCACTCAGAGGAAATACAGCTAATTGTAGGCCTGAACATTCCTTAGAGGATTTCAGGCCTTTTAATTACTCATTTTCAGGAAATTACTTGTTCTCTGGAAGAAACAACATTTTGCTTTGAATCTAGCTACACTAAAGTTGGGCCAGTAAAGAGGTGTGGTCTCCATAGGGGACCCGCAGAACACAATAGACCAAACCCTGAGTCATCCAGCAGCTCTTGGTTTCAGAGGCAGTCAGTGAATTGATTTCACTCAGACTTAGGCCTGTCTACATCAGAGCTCTAGAAATGAGCCCAAGTTTCTATATCTTTCACTGATCCCAGGATTTCCCCTTATGATAGGTGAAAGAGAAGGAAACATGAGGAGAAGGGAGGGGAGGAAGGAAAGCAGGAGAAAAGAAAGAGAGAAAGAGAGAGAGGTGGGCGGAGAGAGGAAAGAAAGAGAGAAAGAGAGAGAGGTGGGCGGAGAGAGGAAAGAAAGAGAGAAAGAGAGAGAGGTGGGCAGAGAGAGGAAAGAAAGAGAGAAAGAGAGAGAGGTGGGCGGAGAGAGGAAAGAAAGAGAGAAAGCGAGAGAGGTGGGCGGAGAGAGGAAAGAGAGAGAGAAAGAGAGAGAGGTGGGTGGAGAGAGGAAAGAGAGAGAGAAAGAGAGAGAGGTGGGCGGAGAGAGGAAAGAAGGAAAGAGAGAGAGAAGGAGAGAGAGGTGGGCGGAGAGAGGAAAGAAAGAGAGAAAGAAAGAAAAGAGGAAAGGAAACGAAGAAAGAGAAAGAAACAAACAGAGGTGGGGACAGGAAAACGAAAGAAAGAGAAACTATAAGAAATCTCATGTAAAAATCAGAACCTGACAAATTCTCAGCATCTACATTTTGAGGGGAGGTTGATTTCCGCTCTTTTCATCTCCAAACAATAAATGAGATGGCAGGCTGATTCAAATTGTGTTTCCCCTAAAATTGCAAAGTACTGAGTTGTTTTATCTGGGCAGCTTCCACTAGGATTCAGGAGTGCTGGGAAAAACGTTCTTTCAGCTCCACTGAGGTTCCTTATTTTTCACTCTCCTAAGAAGCATCCATTTCAAATGTGAACTGTAGTACCCTAATAAGCAGTGTTCTATTATGAAATTCTCAAAGAGCAGCCTTAAGTAGGGTGACCCCTTGCTAAAAAAAATAGCCACGGAAGAAAGTTCTGTGCGGTCCCATCTCACCACTGCCGCCTGGTTTCTGACACAGCCCTTGTCCTCTGCAGCAGGAAAGCATCAACAATTTTATGGAGATCTAATTCTTCGTTGAGGGTCTGCCCTGAACTCTTTGGTTCTTGTCTAATTCAAATCAGTGAACAGTAACATTTTTTTAACTCTTTATTTAGAAATAACATCAAACTTCAAATACCATATGATATCACTTATATGTGGAATATAAAATAAGACACACCAATAAAAATTTTTTTAAAAAGCTCATTTTAATTAAAAAAAAAGAAAGCAATAAAACAAAATAAAATACGATACAAATGAACATATCTACGAAACAGAAACAGACTCACAGACATAGAGAACAGACTTGTGGTTGCCAAGGGGGAGGGGTGTGGGAGAGGGAATGATTGGGAGTTTGGGATTAGCAGATGCAAACTATTATATATAGGATAATAGTCCTACTGTAGAGCACAGGGAACTATATTCAATATCCTGTGATAAACCATAATGGAAAATAATATGAAAAATAATATATATATATGTATAACTGAGTCATTTTGCTGTACAGCAGAAATTAACACAACATTGTAAATCAACCTTACTTCAATAAAAGAAAAAAGAAAACAGAAAGAATGAAATTTATAGAAAAGTTACAAGATAATACAAAGAACTCCTAATATCCTTCACCAGTTCCTCCAACTCTGGTAATTTACATCATTTGCTTTGCTATCTCTCTCTCTCTCTGTCTCTCTTACTTATGTCTAATGCATATATGTGTATATACACCCATATTTTATTCTTTAATAAAATTTTGTTAGACTAATGTACTTGCTTGGAACTTACAAACAGAAAACTCTATGCTACTCTTTGATTTATTTCCTGAAGATTCTATCCATAAGTTTCATTGTGTCTAATTCTGAAAATGCTTATAACACAAAGTGATGTAATAAAAATCCAGTTTTGAGATAATGAGCAGTAAACCCAGTTACAAAATTTAAAAGGCAAATCTTCCTCATTTCTAATGACAAATGCTGACTGATGTCTATCATCTTCCGAGAGAATTATTCCTGATGTCTAGAATGGCATAACAGCATCCCAGTTCAGTATTCTCTATTTAATGCAAAGTTCCAAAAAAACAAACTTCAATTGGCTATTGACAGCATAAGGCATATCTATTAATTAGAATATATTGAGTAATGCAGAAATCATTTCCCAAACATCATTCTGGGGGAAATCATCTGAAGATATAGGTATCACTCTATGCTCCCATCACCCACACCCAAGCCTCTGCCATTCAACGGCCTCAGCACCAGATCACTCAGCAGCCTAAGGACTGGGCTGCCCTTCCAACGAGACGCCACCCCTCCCTCCTTGGCGGAAGCCACCCTCAGGTCATTATGCAGACCCATTTCGGGGCAACTGCAGGTAGCCTCCACCTGGGTCATCCTGCCATGAATCTGTCAAGACAGGGTCCTTTTCCACACTCCTTGGAACTCAGTAAACACCATGCTGGAAGAGTGTGGCACCCCCAGCATATGTGTGAATAAACTGCACATTTCCATTCTGTACTTATCCATCATGGACCCATGACCCATGAATTTACCAAAGCTCTTCAAAAGCCTGTTCATATCTTACTCCAAATGAAAAAGGAAAGAGAGTAAAATAGACTCTACCCTTACCATAACTATAAAAAGAGTGTAAAATAGACTCTACCCTTACCATAACTATAAAAGGAGCACTGTCATTTATTTATCCTAAAACCACAACTTCCCATTTTCTGAGGTCAACAAATGCTCATCCGTCTTCTCCTACTAACTTCTCTGTGTGGGATCTACAGAGGAAGGTCAAGGGTTGAGAACACTTTTGGGTGAAGGCAACATAGTTCTAAAAATCATATATGAGCGTAGCAAAGAGATAATGAGCCAGAATCTTAACTGGAGACACAACAGAAGATTCACTCATGATTGACTGATTGATCCCTGTATTCAACATCCATACAATGACATACTTATCATCATTGAAAATACTGCAGGAAAATGATATAGTAGATGAATACTTAGTGATATGGAAAATTATGGTACGATGTCCGGTAAGTGAAGAATGAGGTCATAAATGAGAATTATGTCACAGACTCATTTTGTTAAAAATAAAAAGGCAAAAGAGAAATATATATTAGTCAGCTACATACTACAATACTAATAGTAGAGAATCTTTTTTGTTTTTCCCCCTTTCCCCTTTGGTTCATCTATATTTTCAAGACAGTTATAATAACTTCAATAAGAATAAATAAATAGTAAGATAGAGTAAAATTTACTCACCTACTGTACAAAGTATGTAGAACATATTGCGTCATATGTTCAGCAAAGCCAATATTATGAAAAAAAAGTGGGGAAGAGGGGAGGAGAGGTCTAGATTCAATGGAACTTAAGAAACCCAGAGGCCACATGCAAATGATGGTCTACGATTAGATACTGATATGAACAAATTAGACGTCAAAGGCTTTTCCAGGGATGCCAGAGAAATCTGAATATATAATGATTGCTACATCATATTATAGATTTATTGTTAACTATTTACAGCTTTAAGAATACTTTGTAGGAAAATGTCCTTACTACTTAAAGCTGCGTTCCAAAGTACTAAAGATGAAAAGGTAATAATTTCTGTAATTTATTTGAAAGAATTCATGAAAAGTAACATAATGCAAATATGACAAAATTGTACAATTGTCAAATCTCAATCATAACTTACATGAGTGTTCACTGTATTATGTGCACTCCTTTGAGTTCTACATTTTGTATAATATAGTGTTAAATCAAAGTTTCTCATAGATGTCTTTCTTTAAAAAAAGTTACAATAAACATGTCACATTGTAATGAAAAAGTTATATAAGCAACATGCAATGTTCTATTTTTTTTCTAAATATCCATATAACATGCAGCACACGATACCTATTTGTCAA